GGATCACAGACTCAGAGAGTGTACCACTTTATTCACTCAAAAGTGCGATACAAACGCGCCAAAAACGCGTGTTCACAACCATACCATATTCGCTACAAGACAGCGTCATAGTACACCGTTAGCTACTGCGCATGTTGCTATAGCGCAGACAGAGGCACATCGTTGTTGGGGAATCCCCAACAGGGGTCGTATTTGGCCGCCAGGAGAGGGGGGTCGTATTTGGGCTGAGAAAAACTTACTTTGCTAGTTGTCTTTTCTCGCTTCACGAACGGACGTTGTAAAACGGAGGGGTCGTATTGCTACATGCTCATTGTTGGGAGGGAGGGGAGGTCGTATTCACTGTCTGGCCTTCTAGGAGTGGTGGTTGCCTCCCCCCCCCTCGGTCGACGGCTCGATTCGATGAGGAGGGAAAGAGGGCCGGAGGGGAGGGGGGGGGGGAGGAAGTCGTACGGACTCGACTAAAATCCCCAACCAACGATGTGCCCTGGTCGCAGGACGAATTTATTATAAGTGCTCGACGCGGGGATTACGGGGATTACTAGCGTTTCTGCTTTGCTGACTGGTCAGTAGTTGTCTAGTTCCCCTGCAAAACTTGCAAAGTCCCTAAGGTAGGATGAATTTCGGCGCTGTTCCTATTATCCAACGATGCAACTGCGTTGATGCATCATTAATCAGCCCGAGATATTAACTGTATATAAAAACAACTGATAAAAAAATCGACGGAACATCGACATGATCAAATGCATCTTGCTATTCTTAGAAGATTTCTAATGATACCATTTCAGCAATTACGCCGACTTGGCAATTTCAATTCGTACTTGGCACTGCTATCAGCACTCGTGTCCAGTCCGTTGACTCGTCTCGACTGGAGCAAGGCCGTGACAGACGCTTTGAGAGAACACGCGAACATTATGGATACTAGTCATTCCTACAAAAACTATCGTCTTCTACTACAGCAGGCTGCACCTCCTACGGTACCTTACATGTAAGTCTAGCATTTCTTCGCTGCCGGATCTGTTAACACGTTGGCTGCAAGAATATCATACAGGTTTAGCGCGAAAATACTTGGCTCCTATGAAACATACTCCCGAAGAGTAATTTTACCATGAAGCTCGCAACTTTGGCCATCATATTTGAAAGTGGTCCAGTACTTGTAACATATCTTGCAGACTCAATCACCGTTGAAATCTGAATGACTTTTCTTTTCAGAGGCGTTGTGCTCCAGGATTTAACGTTTGTCCACGCTGGCAATCCTGATACCCTTCCGGCTGAACGATGTGGTGGTCGACGAGGTTTTGTGAACTTCCTGAAACGATGGCATCAATACGCAATACTAGACAGCATACGGAAGATGAAACGATGGTGAATAGATTTTTACTTCCATTTCCTCTCTCTCTCATTTACAGTTCTACAACACTACGCTTTACTATTATTGAAGTTTGCTGAAGCATCCTTAGCAAGAGCTTGAGTTACCTGAAAATATGCGATTCTTTAGAAAATCTAATTGTTGGATCCGGCATATTCAAGCAGTTTCTCAGATTTGGCCTTGGCATTATTTCTCACAAGGAAGGTGTCACTGAACCTATTTTCACATCGCCCTATGTCAGTCATATATAGAGATCTACATACATTCACTAAGGATGTAGTGGGGAAAGGACACACACTTCTACATCCCATATCCTAGAAGTGGGGAAGGCGTGGCTGCGCACTTCACTTGAAGATGGCGAATCGTTTTTCGTGAGATGTTTTCACTTGAACAACTGTCGTCCTATCTCGTTATATACGAAGACACAGTGACGATTGTCTTAAAAACGACAATAGGTCACCGGATGCGCAGACGTTCAAATGCGGTCACTCCTCTCGATCTTCAGTTTAAGGAGTGTACGTGGTTTCTGGCTTGCTGGTCGAAACCAGGTGACAGTACCCGTTCCCGAGATATCTCGATGGGCGGTTCCTCACTCAGCAAGTGAAACAGCAGTATACACTTCACATCTCAAATATAGTGGGCGCGGCTGCCTACCAGGGTTAAGCAGCGTATTTTGAATTGTCGTGATATGCCCCCGGCTTCGCCTCCAAGTTCAGTACCGCTCTCAGATCAGAATACTGCTCTTAAAGGCAAAGTACGCGATCATTCGCCGTCACAAATAGTGGACTAGGGGTCCACTATTTGTGACGGCGAATAGACAGACGACAAGGTGCTGTGTAACTCGATAGTGGAGAAGAAGGCACACAACAGCGCCCTCATCCGCACAGCTGATTCCTCGTTATGAACTCTACGACCGTACAAGTGACGACTTTCATGCTTTTTCTTCCTCATCGTTTTGCACTGAAAGGACGACCTTGGAGGCGGAGTCACTAGAATTAAGGAGGTGTCACTGAACCTATTTTGCGTTATAGCCCCCCTCCCTTACACGTTTTTGCCGCGAAACCGGTACAGGGTTGTTCATCGCGGAG